TCGAATCAAGCAATAAACCAATGTTCCCTTTAGCGACTTTTCCACAAAAAGTAAAAAAAATAGCCCAAGATCAAATTTTATGTTTAGTTACAGATTAATCCATCGTTGCCAGATCAAATATTAACTTCAGTATTTCGACTAGAATCAATTTAATAGTTAGATAAGTTCAGTATATATTAATCCATGGCGTGCTGCAAAAATATAACTGGCGATTATTGGGACTATTTAGGATGACGCTGGTAGTTTATGCCGCGGACCTAGTCCTAGTTGCGTCAGTGACGTCCCCGTCATATTTCTTTCATGAATGATATTATATAGTTAGTCTACGTTAACAAAACTGAAAAACAAAAACAAAAATCTGAAACCTATTTGAAATTGTTTTCACTCCCTAAATCTATTTGAGAGAGAATGAGAGATTCAAATGGTGTCATCTTCATTCTCTCTCTCAATCTCATCCTAACTCCCATTCTCACTCTTATTTTCATCTATTTATACTCTAGTACAAAAAATAAAAACTAAAAACTAAAATTCAAATGGTTATCAAACAGGCCCTCAGTAAAATAATTAGGAAGTCCAAAGCTAGAAGGTTACTAAATTATTTGAGGAATGAAGGAGCAATTTCAAGCAATGAGGATATTGGCAACGTCCCGGTCAAACTAATCAAAAAGTCTATGCTAGGAGATTACTAAATGAATTCTGAGAAATGAACGAGAAATTTCAAAGCAATTAATGTCCTGTCAGTCCCCCATTTATTCAAAATTTGATTTGTTACCCTTTTACTTTTGTGCTATATTAAATTTCTACCATAAGTTGTTATTGCCTAATTTTTTTTTTCTTTGGAAACTCCCGAGCCCTATATAAAAGGTACCTTCTCTACAGAAAAGCTCCATAACCAACTGAGGTCAGATATCGTATATAGAGAGAAAGAGGAGGCAGAGGAAGTAATAATGTCAATGCAATTGCTAGGTCATCATCATGTGATCATGTTCGTTTTGTTGTTTTGGTGCAGAATAGTTACCGAAACCAAACCAGCGTCATCATCAGTATTAGCTCCGCCTATAGCAAAGCTTAATTGCACGACGCACTGCGGAATTAATGTCAGCATCCCTTATCCTTTCGGCGTTGGACCAAACAAAGATTGTTACTTTAATGAATGGTTTCAGATAGACTGCAACGAGTCTACTGGGCACAAGCCTTTCTTGAGGCGCGCCCAAATGGAGGTGCTCAACATTTCTATTGATGGCACCCTTCAGGTTAAAAGCCCTGTTACTTTCTTCGGCGCTTGCAAGGGAAAGGAAACTCGCCAAGCCCCAAATTTGACGGGAAGCCCTTTTGTGTACTTGGACGGAAAAAACATGTTCACGGCAGTCAGCTGCGGCCGTCTTGCTACCATGAGATCAGATGTGAATGTTGTTCTTGGATGCAATTCAACTTGTGACGATCAGAATACAGAT